ATAGTTTTATCATCACTAAATTCATAACCAAAACATAATGGTCGACGTGGGTTAAATTATGCCCGCACTGAACAAATTTATGGCGCCGCCCCTAGGTGTAGACTTGGGAACTGGCTGAAGAGGGGAGAGTGAGGCAGTTGCTGGATATGGGCTTTTCAAATTAAATACGGATGCTTCCGTTCGAATGGCGTTGAGATTGATTGGATTGGGAAATGTCATTAGAGATCACCTAGCGGTGGCCGTGGTGGCAGCAGCTCCCTACAATTCCTAGGCAGATTATCGGTAGAAGAAGTCGAAGCTGTTGCACCTTGCGAAGGGCTTGCTCTAGCTGACAGGCTTGGGTACCAGATTGTCGTTGCTAAATGTGATTCTCTTCCAATTTTCCAGAGCTTCCAGCCAGATATTATCTTTTCTTCAAACTGTAATTCTTGTTTATTTATTTCCACAAAAGAAATAAGGTGACCCATAGTGAAAATAGTACTCAATTGTGCAATCTGCACGAGGTGGAACAAGAAACCTGGAACAATGGCAGCCTCAAATGATGCAAGAAATTAACATTGAAATATAGGAGCTACCGTACAGGAGTTAAAATGGTTAATGAAGGAAGACAGCAACTCAAATATTCCTTAGACCATTACCTTGGGAGTACTTATGCAAGAAAGTAATCCAAGCAAGCGCCTTGCTAAAAATGCAAACAAGCAGAACGAAGAATCCCAAATATAAGTTCAGAGATGATGCATAATAGGAAAAAGCTAAACAATTTAGTAATCTGAATGTTAGTTCTCTATTGTCTCATTCTACTTAAGGCATGAATTCCACATAGAAAGCAAATATCCTATCGACCCACCACCTCTGATGAAAAAGACCACCCTCAATGAGCATTAAACAGGTTACCCACAAGTGCTATTGTTGAACCACCACATCTTAACCTAGAAGCTTCGGCATTTAGAAACGAGACACATTTATTTATTTACACTTATTCTACAACAGCTACATCCTCATCAATGGTCCTTGTGATCATACTAAAAAATTAAATGACATCTTGTGGAAGTAGCTATCGAGAGGTAGAGTTGACCTCACAGTATCCTTGGAAATTGGATAAATGTAAAAAGATAATCTTTCATTAAGCAAAATAAAAAGCAAAGGCAATTTGAATTTAGAGGGGATACTAAGATGATTCCTAATAGAAAAAATAAATACACAAGTAACAACCAAGTATGCTTATGTGTCCTAATTGTTCCATAAACAACAATATTCTCTTAAAATATCCAAATTTCTACAAAACAGCACGTTGTGCGAAGGTGAAATGGAGTTCATCATTGATCTTAATCAGATATTTAAGTTAAGATCATTTGCTGCAGAAAATGGAACTTATACTTCAGGAAGAAACTTCAATACAAAACTG